CCCCAAAACCCCAAAACCCCGGCAGCTAAATTGTAAGTTTTGAAGAGATTTGCTCTAGAAAATAGAAAATAAAAATAAAATTTCTAGTAAAAGTTTTAAAATCAATTTTAGAACTCAAGGAGTCCCACTTTTAATAATATTATTAAATCAAACTATACTTTATCATGAATCAATATGTGCGTACTGGCTAATAAATATTTGTCAATCAGTAGCCTATGATTATTAGAATGAATATGAATATTCTATAAGAACCTTAGCAAGTAATTCAACTATCCCATTCTAATACGTTTTTACCTTAACTTTCCAGCTATTTTTACTCTGCATCTTCTCAATCATAAGATCAATTTAATGAAGCAAAAACAAATAATACTATCATTTAAAATAATCAATGCAATAATTTGCTACCAAGTTACTAAATTCAGTAGTCACAATCACCACTTTAAATAACTTATTTCTCCAATTAATAAAAGTATCAATCGTTTCCTATTTTATCATTGTAAAGCTAGGTCCCATTAATATATGATAACTATTAGAATTAATCTTATATCTAATGCAGCAACAACTAAGCTAATGAATAATCTCAATGTGAAGTTAAAAGTAATGATTTTATTTATTCTCAATAATAAGAATGAAAAAATATTGAACTAAAAGACTCAAAAGTAATTTAGACTACTGCTAATGACATTTCTGATAATCAAAATATTTCATTCCTTTAATAGCAAGTACTTCTTCTTCAGCTTGGATAAATTTAAAATTAGAATATTAATAAAATCAATGATTAAAATAACAAGATAGAATAAGATAGCTAATATAATGAAAATTCTCAAGAAATTTTCATTCAAAAAAAACAAAAGCTGATAAGTTAACTTAGGGATTTGTAAGAGAAGTATCCCAATCTTTGTATGAGACACATGAAAAATTAAATGATGAAGTATGATGAGAATTTTAATGCTAAGATGCTTTACACTATCCATAGAAAGGGGCTCTCTTCACGACTATGGACTTAATCAAAGTAGATCTAAAGATAAAACTGCAGTATTTGCAAGAAAGCAAGAACCTTGAAATATCAAAAGTATGTTCTTGAAACCGAATATTTGCTAAATCCGAACTGGAATCGAGTTAAATATCGAGAACTCTAAAAATAGTTGAAAATGACATTTCACTAAATTTACAAATGGAAATGGGATCACATTGAGAAATGCAGATTTAAAGTTAAAGTTCAATAAGAATTAGAGCATCAAATGCGACCAATAGACAAAATAGAAGTTGAGAAGGATAATAATAACAATATTATAAGAGTTCAAAAGAAATCAGTATATTTTGAAGTTGTGAAAACCAAAGGATACTAGCAAACAACTTTTGAGAATAAAATTTCCTAAATATGAATTAAAGTTTTCAAAATTAAATTTACGTCATGACTTTTTCCATTCTCTTTATTCGTAAATTATACTAATTACATTACCAGGGGTTTTGGGGTTTTGGGGTTTTGGGG